GTGCTATGTTAAAGTGAAATTATGCTCATATATTTATAGTCAAGTTGAGCTGAATTGACTTTATATTTCAAAAGATTGACTGTCAAAATGTTGTTTGACCAACGGTTGATATTGGAAAATGTTTATGTTAAAATATTAAATTTGCCCAAAGTTAAAAAAAGACTGCCCCACTCTTTTTATTAACTATGCGTTATAGGTAAATTCTAATGGATATTTACAGAAATTTCATTTAGATCTGTGTGTCATTTATTGTTTATGCGAACTTAATCATTAAATTAAAAGGGATTATGGCAAAATGAAAACATATTTTGATCTTCACTCGTTCACTCACTGTATACCCTTGGATGGGCATAATGTCACTTTAAAGAATTTTTTTTCTTCAGAAAATATAAATTTTAGAGATTGCACAAGACTTACAATTTCTGATAAACTCTCATTTCAATTACACGTTCAAACCTGCTTATAATAATATTAACATATGATTTGTATTTGTCACATAAAATATAAACTCGTTTATTGCAAATCCTTACAATTAAAGCAAAGCAATACGCATACTTTGGCTATGCTCAAACATGTGTTTCTCATATATTACACAAAAAACTATTATCGTCTTCTTTTGTCGCCTTTTTAGTCTTATACAACAACAATATACACTTACCAAAAGATTTTAAACTTTTAAAGATCCTGTATGTTTTGTGATTGATATTGTTACTGTGTGTATACCACACTTGCAAAAAATTATATATGTATATAATTATGCAAATAAAACAATTTCCAAACATCGAAGAATATGTTAAATGTATACTGAAAATATTTTTTTACATTATATTTAATCAATAAATTATCTGCATTCATTTTTATTGGAAAATTTAACAGAATTTATAGAAAATAAAATTCTAATTATCTCCCTTTATTTACATGAAATGTTAAATTCAGTAATATTTTTATAAATAATGCTTATTGGAACTTACTTTTTTGAAAAGGATATCCGATGTTTCATAAAGAAAATAACATGTTATATTTGTTATTAACAAATATATTTTTAATGCGCACAAAATGTTTTTCCCAGCCAAAATAGCAAGTACGATAAGAACTGATAAATATAACATAGTAAGAAAATTATGTTGGTATACATTGTGTGCTTATCAAGGTAGTTAGAAGATGCTTTATGTATGTCATCAGTTTATACAACGGTGACAATGTCATTCTTACTTAAACGATTTTAAAATAAACTCTAATTACTTATAATACTAGTAATCCGATTTTGAGTTTTGATTTTTAAGTTTTATATTTTGTTATATTTTGGCACAATATTCTAGAGCCTTTATTCACACTTTCCAATACAATACTTTCATTTGAACCATGTCTGCACTTTTCCTCTCATCCGGATTATCCACAGATTTAGTATGGGGTGCGTTCATTGAATGCCGCCCTTCCTTGATGATCTTGTTCTTCATAATTTTAGCATCAATGTGTTGCTATTTCTTGAATTGATCGGATAGGGTCAGTAATCAGTTTCACATGGTTAGGAGTCTGTTTCAACGTATTACATGACTAGGCTAGACGGTTGTGGAATATTAAATCCAATCAAACCGAGTGTGCAATGTTCATGTTATGTAATTATGCTTAATGCTTCCGAGGGATCACACTTTATCCAGATTTTTGTACTTCACAAGTGCCGTGTAAAAGGTTGCCCCGTACTTCACTTCAGTGTTGTTATATTTTTCTGGTCGTTAAGATCATTGATTCCAGTACTTTTAAGTGTTGAAAATTGAGTACGACTCAAGCCAGTGCTAGGGGCGTGATGGATTTTGCACCTTTTCATTATCTCTCATGTACAGACTCAATCAAAACGAGATTCGATTTTCATGTAATTTTGTTGTGATTTATGCTTTGTAACACCGCACTTTGGGGTCCAACGCACTTTGGGGTCCAACCCCAAAGTGCGTTACACTTTGTTTGCATCGCACTTAAGGGTCCAACGCACTTTTGGGTCAAAATCGAGAAATTGACCCCAAAGTGCGTTAATATACTAGTACTACATGTCAACCACTTTGGGTTTAAGAGTTCTGAAGGTGTCAACTGAGTTATGCTTAAAAACTTAGTACTGACTTATTTCCTATCTGCGACATTGAAATATTTGAGGTAGAGTCCAAGATGACGGTCGATACTTTGATTGATGCTTAAGTGATAAAAGTTTCGTTAATTTTACCACTTGAAATATCTGAAAATTGTGTCCATAGAACAAAGTACTCCAGTACATGAATTGTGATTATATTCCTAAAATTAAAAGATGCTGCGAAAAATATCTTGTTCTGTCAGTCATTAACTTGATAACTTTTGTGCCATGTTGCGCCCCATTTTAAATATGATGGAGATGAAATAAAATGCAGTTAATATTTTTTTCCAAACTATAAATATACTAAATATATTGAAATGTTCTTGTGGTGAAATATCAAGTCTCTCGATCGGATTATAAATAATGATTTTTTTACAAATACATTATTAGGCTTATCAACAAACTTAAGTTTTTCTGTAAGCTCCGTAACAACCGTTCGCCAGAGGCTTCTTTAATGGAAAATCTTATATTCTTCTTGAGAAAGGGCAATAATGAATTTTATAATGTTTAAATAATGGTATCAGAGAAATGTAAGATGCTTGTTTCCTGAATAAAGTAGCTATCAATGTGAAATAATTTGTCAAAAAAGTAGCAAAATGTAATCAATATAGTATTGTACTTCCATATTAAGTACTTATTCACTATAACTGTACTCATTGCCAAAAAGCAAGTTTATTGGCCATGAGTATTTTTTGGATACTAAAAGATTACACCAAAATTAATTAAAGTATAATATGCCTTGAAAACGTTATTTTTACGTGAGAACTTTACATTATTATGAAGTTCCGCTCTTAATGTGTGACTACTTAAATAGTTTATGATACTGATTACTTTTGATTACTGTCTGTACAGACTCCTATTTAAGGCCGCATCTACACCTGGTCTATGTTCTAAAATGTCACATTTAGACAAGATAAATAAATGACCCTTTTAACATATTATCAGGAACATTTTTTCAATGAAATGTCTTATTAAGATTTCCTAGGATTTATATCTTTGTTTCTGTTAAGAATCATCATACTTCTATAAAATGTGTAAATATAAAAGAACAGGAATATGAAATTAGCTAAAATAAATGGAGTAAACGAAAGGTGTACATTCTTTAAGAATAAATGGAAATGTGAGAAAAATTTATTTTCAGCTTGTTAATTGATACAAATTCTTTATTTGATGACAGTTCTTCACTAACTGATCAAGGTCATTTAAAATCCCTATTGATTCTACCATAATTCAGGGCACATGTTTTGCACATGTTTACCTTGATTTTTGTTTAGCGTCGATATAATATATTATTTAAAACATAATGAAAATGCATTTTATTTATTGAATTTTTTTACCCCAAAGTGCGATCGTTTGTCTGATGTTAAAAAATGCATATGTACCTGTTTAACGCACTTTGGGGTCAAAATTGGACCTCAAAGTGCGTTACGCACTCGGGGTTCGGACCCTAAGTATGTAACGCACTTCGGGGTCGGGCCCCAAAGTGCGTTGGACCCCAAAGTGAGGTGTTACATTGCTTCCGAGAGATTTTTTATCTAACGTAGGTACATATATCCAGCATCATATTGCCTCAAACAGCAAAACAGTAGTAGGTTCCTAGGATGAAATTTTCAAACGACCATTGTGTATACATGCTTTACTCCTGTCCGTTTCTTAAACACCATTAATGATTTACTGTGTACTTTACTTTGAATACGTTAAGACAAACATATTTCATTGTGAAATTATAAACTTTTAGATGGCCAGGACTTTGTGTACGATTTATTGCTAATAATTCTTTTTTAAGATAAATGGTAATTAATGATTAATTACAAATTGTATTCGTTATCTATGTGCAACTATGGTTAACAAAAATCGAACTAAAATAATTTATGTAAAAAGATTTTTCCTCTTATTTTGCGAAATTTTGAGGTTAAGCTTACTCCTGTATAATGTTTAATGTAAAAGTTTTACGAGCCATTTAAAAAAGAATCAGTAGTGGAACTATTAGAATTTGATTTCAAGTCTGTAAGTAATTCTATAAACCTGCATATTCTTCTTGTTTAAAATTTGTTTCATTTGACGCAGACTCACTAAGATGTATAACTGAAATTTTACAAAACAAAAGTCACCACCTAATTGTCTCCCTTTTTACTATTAACTGATAATGAAAGCTTCATTAAAACAGCTATAATGCCACATGCGCCTACAATTTTCAAACTCATATTATTTATTTCATATTTGTATTGAGTAGATCTATGATACTTTTTCTTCTTAATTTTTTCCTTGTTTTCTTAATCAAAAATGTTCCTGTATTTCATTTACAAATGTGTAGGTTATGTACAGTATCTATTTCATTAACTTTAGTCTTAACAGAATTGTGTAAAATTGATAATACCTGTCTCTTTTAGTATTGCTATAGAATTATTTGTTACGAAGGGAACGGAAGACCCCAAAGAAATAATTATTGACTTTTAATTACTGGTAAGTGTCTTTATATACATATATATTCGTATTTTCAATCTTTGATTTGCTTTTTGTTAATCTTGAATGGTTTATTTTGTAAATGTAAAAGTGTATGTTATTCCACAAACATGAGGTATGTCGTCACTCCTCATTTTTTTGGCATGTGACTCCTCTCAAATGACGTGTATACAAGACAGTAAAATATAACATATGGAACACATTGATGTTTATTTCAGCACATATCGCATGAACTGACATTTAGTTAAGAAACTTTAATAAAGATATAGGACTGGCGCTGCCTCAGAAATGTAGACTGTTCAACAAACAAGACTACCGTTGCATTTTGTTATCGTATATATGAATTGCTATTTAAGTGATGTTAAGTTTGGTTTAAGAAAGTATTTGTTGTTGTTGTTGTTGTTGTTTTTAAAAAGATATTCAAAAATACGAACGAAGGTTTATATGTGTGTAACACAAATAACAATTTCAACCTAAAAGCATTTTAATGACGATAAGACTTCATACAAAACTATGATAACATATGAAATCTAAATAGCACATACTACATTTAACAAATGAACAGTAACAAAATATAAATAATTGTAAAATGAATTTATACAACGGTAACAATGTCATTTTCATTTCTAGGATCTTCAAAGGAACTTTTATATTTGGAATGTTCAGATTTTGAATCAGCATCAACACTGTGCTGCTGGTCGTCTAGTTTATCTAAGGAATCTTTACCATGGTTTTCACTTTGGGTTATTCTAGCGCAATGTTCTAGAGCTTTTGCTCTCAGCGTCGCAATACTTTCTGATCTAATATCTGTCTGGACCATGTATGGATTCTTTCTCTCATCTGGACTCTCCATAGATTCAGGTTCAATGTTGTTGCCATCCCCCGTTAAGGTAGATTGTGCTTCTATTGACTTCTTGTGCATGCCTGCAAAAACGCAAGCGATCACTCTACAATAAAGTTTTGTAGTTTACTCCAATATAATATTCTTTAAAGCTGCACGCATCCAAGGGCGAACAAAGTGTCAAAATATCAAACTATAATTATTACAAAAATTTATATTTATTCACAATCAATGTAAAGCTCTACATTTACTGTATATACCATTTTATCATGAATTTTCTATCCATTCATTAACAAATTAGGGGTGTTTCTACATTTCTTGGCACATTTTAGGAAATTTATGCGAATTGCATGTTCCTCTCTCTAAGTTTACCTTATTTCTTTGTGCGGTTGTCAATACAAACACTAAGGTTTAAAAATTAAGCACAAGAACTAGGAAGCGTGCTGCTTTAAGAACTTAAAGTTAACTGCATATAACTCGTTCTGGAAAATCAAACGGATATTGGTTTAACTATCTATACGAGTAGCCGAGTAAAGGTTCTTTACTGAATGGCACTTTACCTTATTAATTTAAGAAATTTAAAGTTATATTAATACAACTACAGAGTTCTACTTACTCAGTAGCCAAGGAGCACACGAATCCATCACTCCTTCTTTAGCACTTTTCAATATGGTTTCTGGGAGCGGAAGGGAATGTCGCACCATAGCACCATAGAGACCGTATTCCGCCATAATGCTTGACCTTCCCCAAGTTTTCTCCGTCTTACGCCACTTAGCTCTGCGATTTTGGAACCATACCTGTAGAATGTACAAAAATATTGCGTCTTATGATTGTATTTGTTCAAGTAATTTTATTCCTTTGAGACATTTAAGATGCTTTGATTTTAATTGTAAAAAAATAGCTTATTTTCTAGCTTTATATCGTATTGTATTTAGTTGATAAATTTCAGATTTGATAACTTAGCAGATTAACTGATTTTATTCTATCTAATATCTATGAAAATCATATAAAATCAACCATTAACTTCTTTTATGCTGGGTGTGTCCTGATATGAAATTAGTACAGTCCACTGTCATATTCTGGGACTATAATTTCATTATATGAAAACAGAGCTAGAACAGTGCAGAGCCATGTCTAGCTGCACAAAGGTAAACTGCATGTTGGTCGTATCACCTAGTAAGCTTACCAATTCTTAATAATAAATAAAACTAATTTATTTGGATAAAGATACATGTAGACCTTTCATCATCTACAGAATGTTCTTATGCATGACAAAATTTGAACTAGTTAATATTGTTTTCCATATGACATATCAATAGCGTGTGTAGGTAAAGATAATTTGGATAGGGATTTGATTTATCATTAATACAATCTAAATTTGTAAATGCAGGACGATTAATTAATTTGAAGGTCATATTAAAGCATAAAATGATTCAGTTCAATTATACCACCCGAGCATCTCTCAGTTTACACCTATAAAACAATGATGAATTCAAAACATATATAGATACCATACCTGAATGCGATCCTCTGGTAAATTAGTTTTCAATGCTAGCACCTCGCGAGCGTAAACATCTGGATAGTGTGCGTCTTTGAATGCCTTTTCAAGTTCCTCTAACTGGAAACTCGTGAATATTGTTCTGTAAAATAAAGATCAAATATCAACAACTGTTTGCACTTCTGTTGAAACAAAACATGGCTTTCGACCTTTTAGCTAATAGAATACTTGATAAATTGACAAATTGGGAATATCTTAAAAAGGCTATTCAGCAATGCAAAAACATCTTCAAAGTTGAGCATACTGGAATAGGCGCCAAAGTATTTGTCATTTAGTGGTGCCATTAATTGATAAAATGCAACACTAGCATCATTAATGATCATGTTTTACATATTTGTGCGCGATAAGATTTCGATTAAGGTCAATTTTTTGACCAATTATATTAATTGTATTGATATGTCATTGCTCATCCCAGGAATTTTGTTGCAACAATGAGTGAATACGTTAATACTGACACTGTTGTTTTGAAACATGCTCAATGTTATTATATAAATATTTTATTGTACAAAAAGTTATGATATAAAATAGAAACTTATTTTTAAACTGATTTTACTAAATGGTGGATCATAAATTGGTGACATCCAGCGGTCGTTGAGAACTTGTCAAAATCAACAATAACTAATGAAAGATGTTTAATACATAAAATATCTATCAACCGTTACAGTACCCAGGTGGGACTAGTAGTGTTTGCCTCTAGTATACACATCCATGCAAACTGACTAGGCTCTATACTGTTGACTAACCAATATCAACGCAATTGATAATGGATAGTTAGAGAATTCTAATTTAGAAATTAGTCAGAGAAGGGTTAATCATTGTAATGTCTGGTGCGTATTGAAATTCTATTTATTTTTATAAAAAAAAAATCTGCTAAAACGATTTAAAGTTTTGAATATGATAAATAAAACAAATATTTATTCATACAAAAACAAAATAGAAAATTCTGTGTAGATTATAATGGTCCTGCTATTAGTGTACTGCTACAAATATTCGGACTAGGCTAGTTGTAAGGTAATTATTGATGGTGTTTAAAAGCTATTAGTATCTCAAATTTCAGACAGTTTATTTGTATGCCTAAGTAGTCTTCTAAAACTATTCGTTATCAATTGGCATCAGTTTATACACAATTTGAACCAATTAGTATCCATTTACAGAGAGCACGAGCCTTTCACAGGTGCTCCATTATTTAGTTTCATATGTCTAATTAGGTTAATCATAATGTTACAGATAACAAAGATTTGAACACAACATGCATACAGCCGTTTGTTTAAACTTTGATGCCGTATATTACAGTCCCTATGGAGTATAATGAAGGTGATTTACAAGAATTGTGATAAAGTATTACATTGATTTGTCTACTTTATTGAAAATAAAAATCTAATGTTATCTTTATCATTCTTGTCACCTTTTTATTTCTGCATAATTCGACCTGTTTACCGTCAGTGAAATTGTTACAATAATTGTAGTTGTACTTTTGTTGTTGTTCTTTTCTTTGTCAAACTAATTTTTCATATGGAAACGAGAGTGTGATTTCAATATATTAATAAGAAAAAGTAATTGATCTTCAACAATCTTTTCATATAGAATTACAAAGGAAGCCTTGTTGCTGGCTATAATCACAACATTAACATTGATATATGATCTTTTTATATCTTCATCGTGTGAAATACATTTTTCTTGTCAAAGACATGTAGATTTCATAGCTTGTAGCGAAAAGAATTACAATTTAGAACTCAAAGTAAAGAAGACAGTCACTCATGCTTTTGGTTTTGATTAGTCTGTTGAGTTTCAAACACTTATTTTATAAAACAATACCTTTACATCTAAGGAACTTTGTTCTCAATATGAAAATATATGGAATCGCTGATGAACGTTTATAGATAACTAATTAATACCACATTATCTTCACCATAGGAAATTAAAACGTACCCCATAGGCAAATATCGCTCTGACTAATTTATAAAAGTGATATAAACAATTTATAATTCATTAAGGAAATTTTCATAAAGAAACATATCACTACATCAAGGCACGCGGGATCAATGCACGGGTACCACTCCTGATTAGTTTAATGTAGCTAATAATTCTCAACGGTGTCTTCTGAGACATAAGCACGTGACTTCAAATGTCATCAAATTACTACGCAACGCATGCTTAAATTAGCCTTTGGACAAAACGTTCGTCTCCAGATAGTTCCAGTAAAAAAACTATCACTTCATTATGTGAATAGATAATGTGTTTAGTTCCCATTACTGTTGTTTTGAGTTTACACAAATTTTGCTAACATTTTGTGTGAGATTTTAGAGCTTTTAACTGGTCATCTTGTAATCGAAACATATCGGTATGTAATGCGTAATAAAATTAAAACAAGTTATAGTAAAAACAAAGATGTTAAAAGTGAGAAAAATTATATATTTGGGTTTCTTTGTTCAAGTTGTTAAAGTTTCCATTTATCATTTCCTCAGACACTATGTTTACTTCCCTTTTATGTTGTACTGTGTCATCAAAATTTATATTATTTAAATGTACAACTATATCATTTTACCATATAATATTGTAGTGCATTGTAGTAAGGAATCAACTTAAAGTAGACATTTGGTAAATTTTCTTTCTTCTGATGAAAAACCTTCAGGTCACTTTAACAAATTGGTTTGATATCATAGATAATTACTATTTCGCTTAAAACTCTGTAAAATGTACTCATCGTAAATAAAGTTCATATTGTATCTGTCTGTTTTTATTGATATTGATGTCTCCGGACACATTAGTATATTCTGAACAACTTTCAAAATTATTATATATAAATATTCCTATGACAAGAAGGTTCCATAATATACACTTTATCTTTTGAATTTGTTGCACATAGGAATTCAGACTGCCCGACAATGGATTTTAGATAAAGATAATTAGATCTGACCAAAAAGACAAATTAGCTAGCAATTTCTAACACATTTAAAACGTTATATTGATAAGAATTTGGCATTTATAAATTGTTAAATAATATTTCTTAATTAAGTCTGTAAAACCATGATTTCTATTTTTCAATATACTTAAAAAGTTTGTTGTTGTTTGTGGTGTTTTCTTGTTGTTGTTTTTGTTGTTGTTGTTGTTGTTGTTTTTTTGGCAATTCTAGCTTTCCTGTATCATATAAAACATTGAGATTACCATATAACATTTCATGTTTTATCAACAATATTTCTCTCTTCCTAACATTACATATTTTAACATAACATGTTAAAGTATAGAATTCTACTGTAAACCATCGTCACACAACGAGTTTCCCTAAGATTTTCATATATCCGTGTTCACTAAGATGAGGTAAATTAATTTATTATACTTATCGACAGCATATGTATCTTTAAATCATCTATATGTTCTGTTCCTAGCTTATTTCTAGCATTTCAATTAAAACCATTGCCTCTCTATAAATCATTATAGTATTGAACTGTATGAGACATTCCAATAAAACATCAGTAAGTCATTCTTACATGTCTTGAATGAAAATAGCACATGAGTGTAAATGTTCAGATCTATTGTTACCTTTATCCAGTGTTAAAAAGCCGTCGAAACACGCTTATATAAGGGAAAAGGGTAATAAAATTATAGATTTATTTTCTCAAAAATTATCATAATTCAAATAAACACTCCAATGATAATAAATCAATTTCTGTTGATCAATATGGTTTAAAATCCAGGTCATTTCACCTTGTCCATCAACATTTGGAGTGCACTTGCCCGTGTCGAGGTATTGCTCTATGACGGACTAAATGCATCCATGAAAACTAAAAATTTTATTGATAATATTTTTCCATTAAGTAATTTCTCTGACAAAATTTCTCTTGTTTCAAAATGAATTGTTAATGCTCGCACATATTTTCAACATGTGTACTTACTATAAATTATGCTAAATAAATTAATTGCAGTAGAAAGTTAATTATTCATGACTTTTGTTAGATAAAGCTAAAAAGTTAGATCTAATGGTACACTTTGATGAAAATGATATTTCTAAATGTATGCTTGTACTTAAATTTATTTAGCATCGCAAATGTTTCTATTCTGTTCCGTTTAACTTCCAGACAAAAATGTGTGCATGTTCCGCATCCACAATTCTATCGTAGTTCGTAAAAATACACAAAACATTCAATTCACATCAGCGTAGAGATATTGTCTGAGCAATGACAAATAAACTGTCGGGGTTTTTATTATTGCTATTCGCTGAAACTAAATTTGATAAAGTAATAAATATATTTGAAGCATCATCAGATGAGACATTTCTAAGGAAATAAGTTTTGTTTCTTGCCAATAACCAGCACCACCAAATTAATAAATATCACACGATTTTCACACTATTACCACTATTAATAAGTCTTCATTACGGAAGCGCATTGGGAACATAAATCAGCGCATCAAAGATGATTAGCAGTGGTGGCCGACGGCAAACTAACTGTTGTGAATTAGAAACAATTAATTAGTGCCTTCCGATGGGAAATATAATGTCAGTATTTAATCGAGAGATTTTAGAAATTTCCAACGAGGACGTGAGCGAAATTATTAGGAAAACTTCTCCCAGCGGACTACTTTATAAACCTGATAACACCGTTTTACATCAGAGGGTCGATAGAAATTACATTTTCAACAATAATTTTCCTCTCTTTAAAAGGAATAAAAGAATCATCAATTTAGTAATTATTGAAGACAAACTGGCCACGTGCTCTTGCGATAATGTATTAATAATTTACACGTCGTTCATGTTAATGGGCTATAAACGGCTGGTCATTTTTCGGACACTTTATTGCTGTAAATCTGCTTTTTAAAACTCTCATATGTATTCATGAAGATGTCTAATAGGCTGCAGTGTTGCATAGAACTGAATAGAATACTTGATGAAATAATTTACCGATATTGTAACTCGATACAGTTCACTGCAAAGTGTGTAATCAAAACGCGTTAGAGTCACAAGTGTAAAGGGGCTTTGACACTAACAAGATGTATGTTACTGAATATTTGGGTACATATCGAAAAAGTACTAGTACAGGAAGTCCTGTATGCTTATCAAAATGATTTAGACTTCTCCTTGTGACATGTTATTAAATGGAAATGCTTGACTATTTATATTAGATTTAAGGCACTTTCCAAAACATATATTGAAGAGTTTTTTTTCTCAGATACTAGTATTGCCAAGCAGTTATATTAAAAGGTATAACATTGTTATGTAGCATTGTTTTTCAGAATTTAACATAGTGAGTACCACAAAGGAACACACTGCATTTTTTGAAGACAATCACACCTTTCATCTCTGACTCGTTGTTATAAGTTTGCTTTGAATTAGGCCATTGGTTCTACCTAGCGTTCCTTCAATAATTCCTTGAATGTCATCTCGATATCTCCAAATTTAGCCTTGAAAATCGTCATATGACATTTACATTTTCTAAGCCAATTGTTTTTTTATTTAATTAATTTTATTTTTTGCGTCTTGTTTTCTGTTAAAATGTGCCGTTAATTGCATTGTTCCCAACAACGTGGCGCAACTGCAGCAGTAACATGGCTGACTTTGAAATTAAAATATAGATCTAAAATTAATTTGAAGCAAATAAAATGCTCATTTCATGTTATTACTTTTTGTGTGAAAGCAGGCGATGACAATATCAGTCAGGCAATAAATGTGAATCCTACTAAAAAAATAATTATTTGTCTTAATTTGTGCATCACATAAGGTCTTTTTTCTAACATGTCAACGTAAAGTACAATCTCACTTAAAATATTGTATTTTTGTAGCATAAGGTGAAATAATTCTTACAAAGCTTCTACTCTCCTATTTTGAGAAAGATTCCGTGATGAATAAGCATAGCATAATGTCAAAAGAGATCAAGCTCAGATGACACTTATAAACCAACTGTGTATAGTCTGATTTTATTGACCTGTCAATTATGAATACATTATAGCACTTATTTAAATATTCGATTCCACTTCGGTTCTGTCCGTATAGTTTACGAGAATTAATATGGAGTGTTAGAAAAAATCAACCTAACGTAATGTGTATGTTCTCATCTCATCCGCAATAGCACAGTCGATTAAGTGATTACCTCATATATGAGAGGTCAGTGGTTCGATCCCTACTATTGTCATTTTTTTGGACCTTTTCATTCTTTAACTTTATTTTAATGAAAATGGCCAAGTGCTTGCAAAGTTGTCTACACGGATATAATACAATTTAGAAACACTGATTTGTCTCGTTTTGTATTGCATTTTACGGCACTGTAAATGACATTATTTGATTTTAATCTGAATGAATTTTTTAAATATGAATTCTTAAACTATGTTATTTAAAAAAGAGTATAGTCTTTACCAAAATAAGTGCAAAACATATTAAAACTAGAACTGTGTCCAAAGGACACGGATGCCCCCACTGTCCAGATGAGCTCGTAAACAAGAGCATGGATATCTGTATGGAAGTTTAAACAAAATCTGCCATCCGGTTTAAGAGGAGTTGCGTTCACAAAATTTCTATATGGTATATAGTGAAAAAATCAACAAAGGGCCATAATTCTGTTAAATTTGGTTGCAGCAAAAGTTCCTTCCTTTTACTTCTATCTACACATTAAGGTTGTTCATCCCTGGAAGTTTAAGCAAAGTCTGCCATCCGGTTTAAGAGGAGTTGCGTTCACAAGATTTCGGGACGTACGGACAGACGTACGGACGGACGGACAAGTGCAACGCTATATGCTCCACACTTTGTGGGGGCATAAAAAAACAAAAGAGACAACATAAAACATCATAGTTTCAATAATGTTGAAAATAGTTATAAATAAGAAAAAATGTGGACATATGTGGTCTCGATCTTACAACACGTAGGACATTTAGAAATTATAAAACTGCAGTTTACCCTATTGCGCTATAATGGTCAGTGTAATGATTTTGTTTAAAATTGAATTTAATCACATCTTACTACTCACATCTCACGAAATTTACCGAACATTTATCGAAGATTAATATATTGTGTGCTCAGTATGCAATTGACAGGTTAATAAAATCAAACAATACATAGGTGTGACCACGAACTGTGTACCTGAGTATGTGCAATACATAACATGATAGTTACAAATGAACTGTGTTCATGGTTGTGAAACATGACACTTATAAACGAACTGTATACATGTGTATAAAACTTATAAACGAACAGTATAACTTGGTGTGATGCAGCGTACTTATACTTGAATTTTGTGCCGTGTTGTGATACATGGCAACAAGAAAAGATACATGGAACTTAAAAAAACAAATGGTAAACGTGGGTGTGATGTATCGAACATATAAATGAATTTTGTACCTCGGTGTGATACATGGCTTTAAGACAGAACTTATAAAGGAGCTATTTATCTTGGTATGAAGCTTATGAACGAACTGTGTTCCTGTGTGTGATACATGGACCTTAAAACACGAACTTTCTCCCTGAGTGTAATATCTTTTAAACGAACTGTATACATTGGTTTGGAGTTTATGAAAGAACTTTGTACATGTATACATGTGATACATGAGACTTAAAAACGTACTGTGTATCTGGGCGGATACATGGAACTTTGTGGTTTATGACACTTATAAACGAACTGTTAACCTGTGTATAAACGAACAGTATGCCTCCTTGGTGTGAAACATGGAAATTATAAACGAACTGTGTTTCTATGTCTGATGTTGGTAATATTTAAGACATAAAAAGAAAAGATCTTTTTAATGTTTGAAAATGGATTGTTCTTTTTTTTTATTTAACTTGACCCTACCATTATATAATATGTGTAAAATTTATTTAATAAAAAGTGCACATAAGATAAATCAATGAGATTTAATTTGTTGAAAAATTAAAACCTGGGCAAAAAATACTTTGTCGGAGATGCGAAGTACATATAACAAAATATTTATCCATTTTGCAAACTAACTATTATGAAAAACCATGTCCTTACTGTCCTAGCAGACAGTGTTGAAGATGACTGAGCATGCTTACCTAATTAAATTTGTTGAATCAAACGTGATAAAATACTCGGCACATCCTTGTATTTTATCTCTTAAATTCAACACATTTAATGAAGTTTAATAAATTCAATATGAAAAAAAAACTCATGCAAGTCCTCTATTTATATAATGAAGTTTTAACATTATATAATAAGGCTTTACTTTCATGCATTGAAATTATGACGTTATGTAATACAGTTTCATTTTATGTTGTAAAAATCAGTGTAAATGTAAAATAAAGTTTCTATGCAGGGTTATAAGATTATCCCAGTTTTTATTAAGCTTTTACTTGATATGAATGAAACAACCACAACTACAACCAAAATATATTCGAGAAATCATATCCCCAGAATTTAATTATTTCGCTAACAAACTAACTTTTTGAAGAAACCATCCATATCCCCAGAAATAAATTATTTCGCAAAGAAACTAAATTTTTGGAGAAACCGTGTCCCCTAAAGCTAACAAACTAACCTTTCTGGAGAATCAATGTCCCAAGAAATAAATAATTTCGCTAACAAACTAACTTTTGGAGAAACAATATCCCGAGAGGTAAATTATTTCGCTAACAAACAAAAATATGCCCCTACAACTTAATTGTAATAAGCTTACCTATGACGCCTCTTTTTCTTCTTTTTCTTGCCGTTTATAGATCCTGTCTCTATGGAATCTGAACTTTTGTCACTACTGAAACTAGCGTCTAATCCTGTAACGATATATGTAAAACTAATGAAACTGAAACAAGCTATTCAAATGATGATCTTGAAACAATATAATGTAAAACTGTTGAAACTAAAACAAGATATTCATTTGATGAAACTAGCGTCTAATCCTGAAACAATATAATTATGTAAAACTGATAAAACTGAAACAAAATATTCAACTGATGAAACTAGCATCTCAACCTGAAACAATATATATGAAACTTGAAATTATACTATGAAACTATACTTGCAATAACTGCATTATTTCACTGCTGAAAGTTACATAACTACATGTTGTAATATATTAAGGTTACTTCTATTTTGTCGCCGTTAAATAGACCGTAGACCTTCTTGTATTGTAAGAATAAAAAGACAGGTTTAAATTGTGAATTTGATTATAAGAAGACAAATGATGTAACGTATAACAATTTGTATGATGGTGCCTATGCAAATGAATACTTAAATAAGTATTGAAAATGTATTGTTTAATGTTTATATATTTTGATCAATGTATTATCACATTATGTATGATAATATACCATGTACAAGACAAAATAAAATTATATTCTGTTCTATTCTATTTTAAAGTATAAATGGTTCACATTTCTATGTCGTTCTGTACAATATATTTTATACGAGCGTTATGTGACGGTGACTCCGATACTGAAAGATCATAGGACTTAACGATATACATGTACATGTATGTGTTTCTGATAGACGTTACTTTAATATCTTAAGTAATATCATTTAAAATATAAATTTGTGTATCCGAATGAGTGTATGTATTTCAAATGTTAATAAATGTTCTGTAGAACGGGACATGTAAGTGTCTTACCATGAGAAATATTTCATACAATTAATTGTCAATAACTAAAGTCTTAAAAAATCTAATATATTCAATGAAACACAAATTTAAATGAGATTCCCTTCTTCATTATTCTTTATCATTTATTGTTATCACAATATCAATGTAATTTTATTTTATTTTTTCCAAAAAAAAATTCTTCTTTATATGCCAAAAATATGCCAACATCTCTTGTGCCATGAAGATGGACTTCTACAATGCCTTAGCCAAGGTAATATTTAAAATCTTATCTGAAACACTGACATAATTATTGGCTGTAATTATTTTTCATTCCTTTCAAGATTGTTTGGTGTGAATCACATACTTTTATCAGTAATCTTATAAGAACATTTAATGATTATTTAATATTTTTACTTACTTTACTTCAGATCTATATGATATGTTCACCACAAGGGTGCACTACGCACAGCAGTTCTATTCTACTATTGTGACTTTAAAGTCATGCAATTGTTTTACATTTACAATTTAGATCTAATTATTTTCTGTATGATTCCTAGGATATTGCTTGACGAGACTTTCGGTGCAATAGCTACCACATACTTTCCTATTATCTTAAGTTTTAGAATTAACTAATCTTTTAACTTATTGATATGTTTTCTATTTCAAGTAGATTCGATCTATATATTTTACATTTCTTATAAAATAGATCGATTCTATGAAGAAGTGGAGCAAGATAATTAAAGACTGAAGAGAAAAAGAGCTGCAAAGCATATACTTTGCAGTGCTGGACTTTTTATAAAACTAATTAAAATGTCTGTTGAGACAAGAATGAATATATTACTTATTGGCTTCGTGTAAAAGCCAATTTCTTCGCTAATTACAATAGTAGATTAACTGATTCATATCTTCCCTACCTGATGCTCCATGTTTTCTTAATATGTAGGAACTTTACGTTAATGAAATTATTGCTTGTTTTTTGCTCTCTTTTTTATTCCGATGATATTCCGAGGAGCAGCTACATATTCTACATCAAACAAATTAAAGATGACATAAGAAGATAATGGGTTGATTCATTGCAAAAAGAGCAAGTCAGATGAACATGTTTGATGAATGACAAACAAAAACTACGCAAGAATACTTTACGACAATGAGCAGACGAGATGCGCGTTCCGCTGCGTTCATAACGTAAAGCGAGTCTTGTCGCTAATTATCAAGATATTTTGCTAGTTTTTACTCTTCGTTACATGGAACCTAATTTACGCTGAAAATTTGATTGATTTAGTATGATGATATCGGTAATTTATATTTCATGTTAGCTTAAGCCAATTAGCTTAAATCATGTTGAAACTGAAAGATTAGCGTGGTTTATTATCATCATGAAATTATAGTAAATTGGCTCACGTTAAAAGTAGATGGATTGATATGCTATATCAGAGAAATATAGAAACTTATTTGAGAAATACATCGATTTGTTGACGTTATTAACGAAAAGTAAATCTTTTTTCTTCTTTTTCTTTTTTTTCAAAATGACTTTTGTTAAAGAATACATTATTTATACGCCAGTTCATATTTGATTAAATTTTTAGTATGACATCACCAATAAATGTAGATTTTGAAAGAAATACAACTATTTTTTTGTTTTGGGGTTTTACGTCTCACCGACACAGTATATGTCATTCGGTGATGTTCCAGCTTTACTGGTGGAGGAAGACCTCAGGTGCCCTTCCGTGCATTATTTCAGGCACGAACGGGCACCTGAGTAGAACAACCGACGTTCCGTAAGCTAGCTGAATAGCTACCTCACATGAAAGAATCCAAAGTCCCGGTCGAGATTCGAACCCACAGCGGCGAGGGGCAAGTGAAACTATTATTTTACCATAAAAATATAAATAAAATATTATATCATAACATACAATTCTTTTCTTCTGTTCAATTTTTTAAGATAGGTAAATCAGACATCAAACTGGCGTACAGTTTAGAATCAGCAGAAAATGTAGCTTTCATAAGACATTTCGTATTATTAACAATTATTTCAACTATCAATAGATATCATTACCATTTGAAAGAGATGCAAATATATGGTGCCATACAATACTATCATTAAATTTTGTTAAGTTTTCGTTCGTTTAAAGAAAAATTACACACCCATTAAGACCGACTTATTAGTTCACAAAAATTATAAGGACCAGATTTGAAGACTGAGGTCCGTTCCTTGCTTTGAATCAGCCGGGCCAACCTCTAATGCTAGGAAGAACGGTGTGTACTATTTTAAAAGGTATACAGCAATTTTATTCTTGCACGAGTATTGTCTACAGGAAAGATGATATTATATTGCTTGATACAATGTTTTAATTAACACGTAATACACTCTGACAATCGAAAACTATCAGCAGTTTTACAACCAGCTGGGTTTTTTACACGGTTATGCATCTTTAAAATTTAGCGGTCTGATACAATGTAATAGTTCCCTCTCTGGCGCTCATAATACTTAATATGTATAAAGAATTATAGATGTACATATAAAATATAATGAGATTAAACGTCTTTTGCACCATTCTTATCCATTTACTTAACAAATAACTTTATCATTATCACTACGGCTATTTCATTAATCTTTACATTTATTAAATTACCTAAAATCAAGACTTTCTCATTCTAAGCAGAGACATCCAGAATAATGTTTTGACTTACATCCAACCCGTACAGATGTAACTCCTTTTGTTCACATGAATACATGTATATTATACGTACAAAACATTTACAATATGATTATCCAAACTTATGTCTTATACTTCGTGGATTAGTGAAATATTTTATTTTTGCGGTCAGGTAAAACTTTCACCGACTGCATTTTTTGGCCGTTCCCGTTATGTTTAGGTAAATTAGATTTAAATATGGGCAATGGACGAGGTGTTGCGAATGTAAAAACAGTATAATGGTTTATCGTTTATCATCACAACAGGTAGACAAGGTTATAATCTGTCGCTGTATAAGAGTAATCATCTGAATAAAGAGCATGACATTATGAAAGACAACTACGGTATTTTACCTAACATGACCTGCAGGGTCCATCAATCATGTTTAATCAGCCATGACGTTATAGGACATATGGACAGTAGTTCAAATCACTAAATACGTTAAACACCATTAATATTCTCACGATGAGATCAAATGTGATGATATTTCTGTTGTCTCTTGTGTACCTTTGTTATAACTCTTGATTAAAATGTTTTAAGTAGTGCACCCTTGTCTTCGTCAGACATCAGAAAAAAATGTGTAATGAATCAAATTTAAAGTCTTGAATAGGTACTTTTACTTTTACGGGTATTTCACTCAGACAAATTCGGCAAAATGTCACTGAGGATTCATGAAATTAAGAAGCATTTTCATATTTAGTAAAACAACAAAAAAACGAATTTTTTTTTCAATTAATTCAAGCGATTGTTTATAATTATATTCTATTTCTAATTATTTGCTATAAAATGAAATAAACGATAATGATCATAGATGATAATTGGTTTTATACATATCTATATATCTTTCATTAGGGTAATATTGAACGTCAGAAAATTATATGAAAAAATGAATTGTTTATAGTTTTTTTTTTCAAATAGATTCTTTATGATTTACCATTATCATTCAAAACACTAGACAATTTGATTTAACTTGCTGATAAGGGCATTTCTTAACAGAAAACAATTACTAGATATATATAAGAATATGGGAAATACTGTGCTGCTCACGGGAGCCGTTCCGCTGTTTCACGGTTTGCGCGGTTTCGTACCAAATGCGACACATTGTGCATACATACTGAATAAACGCATCGGCTTCTACGACGATTAAGGCAAAAATTTTATTTCTAAAGTAAAATGCATTAAGTGAACAAGAATGAAAATTTAACAATAGAAGATATAAATACCAGCTTTTTTTAGTCTTAAGTATATGCCCATCCAAGAATATACAGTGAATTAACTGGTGAAAGTCAAAATAAGTTTACATTATGCCATAATCCCTTTCAATTTTATGATTTACTTCATATAAACAATAAATATTTCACGTGCTCCAAGGAAAATTCTGTAAATATCAATCGGAATTTTCCTGTAACGTTCAATTTGTAAAAAGAGTGGGGAATTCTTTTTTATATTTTAAGCAAAATAAATTTTTTTTGCAATATCAATTGTTGGTCACTCAAAATTGTAAAAGTCAATCTTTTGAAATATATAGTTAATTCAATACAACTTGACAATGAAAAAAATGAGCATAATGTCACTTTGATTTGCTATAGCATTACTCTGTATATGATTGTATATTGTTGCACGTTCTCATTGTAAATATAAAGTAGAGAAAGTGCAAAAACTTCTGATGGTGTTACATTAACACAAGAATCCAGCTTTCATGCCGCAGCTTCTAAAGACGTAACTTTGAATTTATTTAAAATAAGATATCCCATGATCTCATAAATAATTGTTTATGAATACTGCAAAAATAAGGTAACAATTGTCATATTTATCGAAGCAAAATAAAAATTATGGATAGCAGTCTTACGAAAAAGAGAGTCTTCAAGTTATGAATAGATTAAACACTAATAGAAATACTACTTAAAGCAGGGATTAACAGAATCTGATTTTAATTATTACTTAATCAAGCGGTTTACAGAGATGAATGAAATTTGTAAAACTACCTAATTTTACTCCTACTGTCGAGTTAGTCGTTCTTGGTTAACGCCTCATACGTTCATTTGCTAAAAGAATCACTAATAGTCAATGACAACTTTTGGCAGTGAATTATGAAGAATAATTGTGAATTATGATATTCTATAAATCAAATATTTGATCATTATTTGAATATTTGTATTTTTTTTCAAGGCAAAACAATAAAAATAAATTTGATTTACCATAGTTTAAATCATTAAGATTTATGTGTTATGGTCTGCTGTTATTAGTTTAAAAGTCTCTTTTTTTCTTCAGTAAATATTTTAGGTTTTAAGTCTATAATTTGTCGTTTACAACCATACGAAAAAATAAGATGCCGCTTGTTTGAAATTTACTTTTAATTAATTCTTTATATCGGATACGCTTAATATATAAATGACCAATGAGGTGAAGATGTTAGTGTTCGGTTTTTTCTGGGTTTATAATAATCAGTTGTAGTTTCGTGTTAACTTACATTTATCTCTCCCTCCCAAAACATGTTATAAAGCTACCCTGTATTTCCAAGAATATTTAAATGGAAGTCATGCGTAATGACAACCATGTAATATCATATATTTATTTTCATACAGAAAATATAACGTGTTTATTGTTTGTCCTAGGATATATAATGATGCAAAATTAAAAAAATAAACCGATGAAACACGACTGGCCTAAACAAGAAAATTAAAAAATTATATACGGTAATTGTTTATGCATCTTTTTAGCTTTGAAATGAAAACTTTGATCAAATAACTTTTTATAACCTTTGTATGTTCATATATCAGATAGAAAATCAGTAAAACATAATTAATTGAATATTACATTACAGGGCAAGACATTACTTCTTTATCGAAAGAAGACGCCGTTTTTTTAACTGACATTCATTTGATAAAGATCTTTAATTTCCAACCTTTGGCTGTATGTACAACTAGCATACTCGTTTTCTTAATGATTTTTACAATGTTTCGTTATACATTCATATACATATTTAAAACAGCATATGGGCATAGATCATTCATGTATACAATCAATTAAATGTTTAGATTTATTTCAATCTTTTATATATACCTGATTTGAAATCCGACTTGCAGAGAACAGAACTTGGTGGCGTTGACGGCGGAACAGCAGGTCCAAAGTTTAAAAGTCCTTGTGCGGAATTATTCAATGCATTCATAAAACTAGACTTCCATGCCATATAAGGAAAAGCAGAAGGGTTAAGTCCAGTTGCTACCGAAGTCACTGATAAAGGAGGTGAAAATGAAGAGGCAAGAAATGCCGATGCCGACAAAAAGGAGTCTGACGATGTTGGCACAGGTGGTCTGCATCGTTCCGAACTCTGGGAGCTCAAACCCAGCAGTTCCTGAATCGCGAATGGATTTCGTTGCGGAAGTGATAATGGTAGAGTAGGTGCGTGCAGACCAAGGGCCGCTGTTGTACCGGCACCAACACCTAGTGCTGTAAAAGCATGTGGACTTGCAGGAAAATTCATGTTAAATGTCAATGTAACAGATTATTAAAATAACATAAAAACTTATTCATTTAAGCCTCCTCATTTACTTTAATATCTTGTAAATCCGTGCAAATGTTTCATCGGTTTTGCAAAACTAATACACTTTTAACGTTCGCACCTTCGTTTTAATTAAACCGTTTAATAATTACAATTAATAAAACGACGCAATGTTACTTGATTACTACAGTAATCGTTTCCTCTTTTTTTCTGAAGTTTCAGATTAATTCCTTAATTGCTTAAATACAGTATCACTGTCTGACAAATTACCAATACGAGGTTTTATATAAAGATTACCGATTCACACCATTCAATAAGGAACATTCTTCCTGATTTGTTCATGTGACTCCGCTGCGTCAATCAAACAAATAAGCCAATGAATCCGCATCCTCAGGGCGCTTTACGATTAGCTACAGTAACTTTCAGCCAGCCTCTTACAGATACGGATCAATAATTGTCTGTTGGTAGCAAACCGATGCGAGATCGTTTATTTTCTTGTTAACATGGAATACAATGTTAGAAAGTTTGGATGGAAGTCAAAAGAGTACCGTGTCATTTTATGTTCGTGGATTGGAAAAAAATGCATTTTTTCTCCATTTTCACCTGTGAAAATAGCCTTTCTTTCTTTTTTAAATTCTTTTCTACATTAAGTTCTTTTTATTAAATAAAACCCGTTTAACGAATTTTCACATTAATATAGTTTGTGTTATTAAAAAAAGATCTTAATTCTGAAAAAAAATATATCGATAAAAAAATATATCATTTGATCACGTTCATAGGCAACAATGAAGCTTATTGCAGGATGCTACACATAGATGTTAATTGTTATAAATTTGATTTTGGTTTTATTTAGCTTTTATATTTCTTGCATTATCATTTTTTTAGGAAACGCAAAATTTTACTCCGAACAAAATATCAAGACGCGCATTAAAATAAGAGAGTCAGCATTATTTTAGACACTCAATAACATATCAATATATTACTTTTCAATTATATCTATATGGTGAATTTTTAATTAATTAGAAAAAAAATGTCAAAATTACCCAAAATGATTTTGAATGAGGTTTTCCATTTATATTTTAATGTTTGGTTTAAAACGGTACCAGGCATATACTTGTTTTGGATTTGGGAACTTTATACATGTATACGATTTTTTAATAAAAAGGGAACGTCTTTAAAAATACTGCTTTTAATTTAAATTAATTCCTAGTATATTTTAGACATTCTTGTCATTTTGAAATGAAAAACTATATTATCTTGCGAATCCTATTACATAAATAATGAACATATTTAGTAAAGATAACCTATTAGTTAAAGAAGTGGAAGAAAAAAATATCCATAGCATTACTTCTGGACTATGGATTACAGATTTAGCTCTTTATGTAGGAAATACAAGACAAATGAATGAATACATCTATGTATTTTATAGCTCACTTTTATGCTTGCGCTGATACGATTGTTGTTTTTATGTATAGATACAACAATTAAGTACTAAATGTCTCAACCTTAAAATGCTACATGATATTAGATGCCTACATTAAAACAAAGGAATCCTCAAAGGACTATCATGTTATCTCTAAAACAATTTCTGTAGAAAAACGGGCCCGAAGTTCTCCACAATATGTCAGTCATGTATCTTAATCAACATAAAAGCTAATGCTTAAAAGTAAATTTGAAATTCATCTCCACCATTTGCAAAATTAGAAATAGGAACCGATGTAAATAACAAACCCCGCAACATTTTATTGTGAATTGTGGAAGGCATAATTTTGGCATTTTTATTTAATGGATAATCGTAAAGCGCATTTTCAGGCACATTTTATTTGATTAAATGAATTCTACTTGTTACAGAAATGTATATATAATATAACAGTTTTATATCAATTTACAGACTAGCAATAGGAAAATAAATCCTAGTTTTTCATCAGGAACCCGTAATAGCTAAATCAATGTCTGTTCATATGTTGTAGTGTCAAGTTTATTATGTTAAAATCACACATTTGACCTCACATGATGCCGATATCAAAATGAACAAATTTTTAATCATTTTGAAATTGAAAAAAAAAAAGATTGCTCTTTTTTTTAGTTTTTCTAAGTGTGTGGAAACCCATTTCTGAAACACATGTACAAAGATATATAGATAATTTTGACTTAAAAAGTTTAATATCAGCGTTATCATGGAGTTTTCATTTTATAAAGACAAACAGTGTCACAATAATGTTATATATCTGCTTAACTTTGTCTGAGATTTAAATGAAAAATAATTGGAAAAACAATTCTTTCTTTCCTAATTCTCATTATTTCTAAGTTACTTGCAAAAGCGAAAAAACATAATGAAACCCTTTTCATTTCATAGTTCTTTCTGCGTTTGTGAAAGATTTCTTCGATCAATGGACCTTGATGAAAGGAACTGATAACGGGTATAGCATAACGCCCTGACGGACGCCACTAATTGCTGTATAACTTTTTGCCACCAGCAAATGATGAGTCTTCTGAAATAAGAACCGTGTTATGTTAAACTATCTGGTTACAACAATACCTTAACTAACCAATAAAGAAACAAAACAACCATTTAAATATTTTTTCATTGAGAATTTTTTCTCTGATTTAAAGTTTCACCTTGATGTTACCAATTAGCGTTTCCTATTCTATTTCACAAAGGGAGCACAAAGCAGGTGCCCTGTGTAAGAAATTACTGCTTCCGTGGAATCATACTGTGTGGTGATTCGTCGGAATACGCCCCACGTACGTTTCTTTAAGACAAATACGGCGGAATGTGTGTGAAGATTATTATTAGTTTTGTTTCGTCTGCCCTTGTAAATCGTTGAATTTATCCGCTTGAGTCAAAGTCACCGTCAAAATTCATCAAGTCTCTCTCTAGCTGCACTCCATGCGTAAATTATTCCAATACAATGAGTTATCAAAACTTCTTATCAAGGGCATTGAAAACTACAATCGTTAAGTGAGTGGTTAAAACGAAACCAAAATTAGACTAACAAACGATATGCCAGTAGGCGGTCTGGCGGCCTCAGCATCTTTAATAAAACACCCAGTCAAATTTCTATTATCAAAAAGCAAATTATCCCAGTTAACGCACAATTTGATTAAGCCATTGTCATTTTCTAATCTAATTTACAATGACAGCCCAGAAATTAGTCAACTTTGACAAATGTGTGTTTTTTATTTATATTTTGCCGCTAGTACTTCAACAGCCAGTAAAATAAATATGTTTAACTTTTATAATTTATTTGATATCATTTTGTACATTTTCATAATGTTTCTGAATACATGTTTATTGTTGTAAATAAATTATGCTGGAACGTCATAATAACATTTTTTTTTTCAAATTTCTACCTACAATGTAACATGAATATAAAAAATAGAAATTAATTTACATTTTTTATATATTTAAATACCTTGCATATGCGATATGATCAAGTCTGATACTGTTTATATTCAAGCGATATTTCCAAAGAACAAAATCCAAAATGAAACAAGCACCAAATTGGGCAATCAATTTAATGACAATTTTATTGAAACCATAATGCATTATGTTGATAACAATACATTATGCAATATTAAGAGACTTAAGAAAAAAAAAAGAACCAAAAAATGCAAGTCAGGAGAAACCAGGTGTCATTGTTAGTGATAAGATGTTGACCGGATGTAAGTGTGTTAGATATATACGAAGCCAGTGGCCTTTTAAAATGTTTTATAATTTTTTAAACGCAAGGGTTGGTATCTCTCTGCAAAAGTCAACTGAAAGTCCTACAGGATAAGCAACCTTGTAACCAACATATTGAAACTTTGCAACCACTTCAGGACACAGGTCTGTCTATCTTGACCACACTCTACATCATTGCCTATCTAATTTAAGCAGTTTCATTTTGTAATTCCGGACATATCAAAATTGATGGCAGTTTATGGTCATGATGCAAGTTTAGAGGACTGAAGATACAACAACTTTCCTACCATCAAAATAAGTCATGACTTGTTGTTTGATGTATTCTATTTCCTCCTAGGTCTCCAATGAAGACAGTTATTATAATATGCGAATAAAGTAGACCGTATATTATCTGTTTTGTGGCGATGTTGCTTGTTAGTTTAGTTGTTAAAATATTATTTAACTTCGTGATCTCTCATTAGTAAAGGTCTAAAATAACTAAGATAAATAACATCCTATTATACCAAGAAAATTGATATTTTCCCCACGAAAATGTCTAATTAAAAGATGTTCATTCCTCGAAGCATCGGTAAAGACGTTATGCTATCAAGAAGTTGTACTTTATTTGGCAATTTTTCATCGCCTAGCCCGTATTTGTGTCACATCAGGAGTTAAATTTCACTTACGAGGGCACGAAATCTAATTTTCTCAGAATAATTAGTCATTGGATACTGCGCTGTCGTTTAATTTACTCGAGTAAATGTTATCCGCATCAAAAACTGTCTCTGTAACGGATTAATTTGGTTTCTTTATATTCTCTTAAAATGTATTAACGGGTGACAATATCATCATTGAAGATATCTTTCTAGCACGGTGACCACGAGCATGCACGAGACAGAAATTTCAAACCCTTAATGAAATATCATTATTAATAAATTGGAAGAAATTGATAACAACTCAGCATCTTAATTATATCACTATAGACATTTTTCCCAAACTCAATTCGCAAAATAACGAAGAATAATGTGAAGTTTAAATCAAACCTCTTGAACCGTCAATTTTTCAAAGTACTGTCATTTCTGTTAATGAGGAGTAATAATAAGTAGCAATTATATGTAATTGATTGTCGTCCCTTGGTACCTTGCAACCATTCAGTATTTATCAATTGGTAATTACGGATACTTTAAGCGTTGGAAATGACACTTTTGATGTTTGGAATCTCATTCTGAAAAAAAGGTCTGAAATAACTCAATGTTGTAAGGACAGAATAAGCCAGTATTATGAAGCGGGTTCAAAGAATATGTTATATTGCTGGTTCTGTCGTGCTCGTAGATTTTATATTAATCATTCCATCGTAAAGGAATATACCGGGATATGTGTTTAAGGCGAAAATTTACTTCTATTGTTTAGATATGGTCGTATTTAGTTCCCTTGTCGTCTTTTACTTTATATGTCAGTCATAGTTTTTTATGCATTTTATATGCATGTTCTATACATGTGTTAAACGTTTCTTAATCAAAACAGGTGTGCACAACTGGGCACCTTTCCGGTGGCTGGATGTAGTCGGGCGTTGGGTGCTTTCTGTTAAAATTGTTCTCTCTTGTTGGATTT